AATATTTATTCACCGTTTCTTCATATTTCCGCTACAGGAAGTCAAAGAATTGTCTACAACAATGGCTTTTCCCTTCCATGAAGACCGTGAGCAGGAAACACTTTACTCTTGAACAGACAGGGTATTCCTGCTGGAAGTGATTCTTATAAATGTCAAGATGTATTACTGCATAACGGCTGTATGAATACTTTTTTCCCGAAATAATGGTTTCTAAACATCAATCAGTAGTAAATCCATCCCTGTCAACATGAACTGATCCAGGCTAATTCTAGGCCCCTACAAGATGTAGTGTTCCTGCAAGTGTTCCTACAAGTATTCCTACAAGTGTTCCTACAGCCTAAATAGAACATATTGAGAATTATTTTACTCATTGTAAAAACATGGATCACTGGACACATTTATCAAAACTAAAAAAAAGGAAAAAGCTGGTAGATATACAAAAAACCAACCTCATTAGAAGAACGTCTTTGTACCACCCCATGTAATTTCTTAGAGGATGAGCAACACTATGCATTGTCTTGTATCAAAAATAATCAAGAAAGATTCCTTTTCCACAGAATCCTCAATAATGATCAAGAATTTAGTAACTCAGTACAAAGGAAAAATTCTTAATAATTCACAATAATCCTGAAACAATTTCCACGACCTGTTATCATATCTACAATATTAAATAGATTTCTTGCATGTATAACATTACAAATTTGCTCAATTATTGTTTCCTTATCATATTGCATTACATCATGTTTCAAAATGACATTGTTAGAATAGCCCTCCTTTGTGTACCCGTGAAGATTCTGGGGTAGAATAGGTCTACAGCAACCCATGCTTGCCGTAAAAGGCGACTATGCTTGTCATAAAAGGCAACTAACAGGATCGGGTGGTCAGGCTGCTCACTTGGTTGATGCATGTCATCGATCCCAATGGCGTGGATCGATGCTCATGATATTAATCACTGGATTGTCTGGTCGGGACTCGATTATTTACAGACCGCCGTCATATAGCTGGAATATTGCTGAGTGCGGCATTAAACAACAAACCAATCAGCCCTCCTTTGTGTCTGGAACGTACCAGAGTTTTGTATTCACAGTGCATACCGTATTCGACGTAATAAGTGCCGAGGGCGCTCTCAAAATTAGAAATAGGGGGCTCTTATTAGAATATTATTTTGGTGAGAAAAAAAAAACAGAGTTGAAAGATAATTTCGTGGTTTTTGCTGACAGCCTGAAATGTTTATGTACGACAGATATATTTTTCAAGAATTGTATTGCCCATAATTAAGGGTGATATAACACACGAGTGCGTATTATACACGAATAAATAAGTCTTGTGTACATTGATCAATCGGTAGGGGTGCTGATTGGGATCGTTCACTAGCCAATATATTAGCAAATATCGCTGTGGGCGCTTATTAGAGCGGGGCGCTTATTACGTCGAATACGGTATATGTTGTAGTTTGTAGAACACTGGCACTGTTCATTCATGGACTGTCATGCAATAAGAATCTTATCCTATTTAAAGTGATTCCAGAAGAGGCATATTAGAAACACTGAAATAACAAAGCTAAATAAAGTCGAAATTGAAAATCTGTCAGCATTCAGCTCTTTCTTTCATAGACCTGCTTCGCAACTGTCAAAAATGTGGGGAAAACATTCATTTTCATACAAAAACATCAATGGTGTTTTCTTTAATGACATTTTCATGACCATATTTACTCTTCATTCATAAATGATGCATACATATTCTTGTTCAATTAGCAGGGATATGGATGAAAAACTCAAGGAGGCATTTACGTACAGGCATAAGGGACTTCCCTTCAACTGTGAGGGCCAAGTAGAAGTGACAAGTAATTGATTCAATGCCTGGTTGGCACCTAAACCTTTCCATTGAGATTAAAAAAGCACTGTTTTATATTATTAAATATTCCCCAGCGGTTCACAGAAATTAGAGATCAATATTACTTTATTCCTCAAAGAAAGAAACATAATTGTTTTTATTCAAAAGGGGCTTGAGCACATCTGACAAGCATCTGGCATATATCTTACAATCGAGGAAAGCTTTGATTATTTATGTTAACAAAATCATTTTGAGGTTGCTCCATAAGACAATGTCAGTTTTAACCAGAGCACTAATGGCAACCTCTAGGCTAGTCCTGCACCATGACCGTGGAATATATTTATTTTATGAAAAAATAATAATCTAGAAATGCATACAAAAGCAAGTCTAGCCAGCTCAAGCTAGCTCTATTCCACAGCATAGGGATTTTTTTTATTTTTAGAGTCAAGAAGGATATTGTGTAATATAAGATTTCAGAGACTAAATGTTAGTCTACCTCTAGGCCTATACTGAAAATAGGCAAAAGGCTTAATAATCTCTCTTTAAGGATTCCCCTTCACTCATTTCTAGTCATCTGATCAAAACAATGGATCCTTGATGTGGTAGGTAAGTGCTAGTTACCTGTCAAGATAGTATGAGGGTCTGCTAATGGTCTGTCTGGAGGAGAAGATATATTCTTCCTATTCATCAGAATAAATATGTGGATCTATTTTTTCCCAATGGTCTGTGTGGAGAAGAAGGTCTATTCATTTGCATAAATAAGTGGATCTAGTTATTTCCAGTGGTCCGTGTATAAAAGAGACCATTTATTCATCCTATTCATCCATATAAATTTGTGGATCTAGTTATTTCCAATGGTCTGTCTGGAGGAGATCTATTCATTTGTATAAATATGTGGATCTAGTTATTTCCAGTGGTCCGTGTATGAAAGAGACCATTTATTCATCCTATTCATCCATATAAATTTGTGGATCTAGTTATTTCCAATGGTCTGTCTGGAGGAGATCTATTCATTTGTATAAATAAGTGGATCTAGTTATTTCCAATGGTCCGTGTATGAAAGAGACCATTTATTCATCCTATTCATCCATATAAATTTGTGGATCTATTTATTTCCAATGGTCTGCACCAAGATGGTGGAAAGGTCACAGGATTCATCAGCCCATGTGCAACCACATTGCTTGACCACATGTCCGCCCATGCCAGCCAAAGTGCCGGCAAACTTGGAACCATCCTGTTGTGTTTTTTTGTTATATGACCACCAGGGGGCGTGTCAGAGTTGGTGTGGATAGGAGCAGTCATGACCACATTGTGGCACACACGTGTGAGAGCACAGCGGTAGCCACCCATATCACCATCACACATTATAGTCACCTGTTGGAGAGAGTGTTGTTAATGCCATGCTAATCAAAGGAATGATCAGATGCTTGAAAAGGCCAGCTTGTCAGACAAGGACCCACCCCATATAATAATCTTTAAAGTGTTGCTGATGGATAAGTCTTGATGAAAAACATTACTTCCAATGCTAAATACTGATATTTCTATTCATATAAAAATGGCTAAATATTTCTTTTAATGGAGCTTTAACCAACTTTCATCACAAGCAGATATCTCTTCCATGTCATTGTTAAATTGGTCTGCCATACAAAGGACAGTCTAAGATTCAAATTTCATTGACTCTTAAGAAAAATAATTAGAATAATAACCCTATCTATAATGCAGCAGATTCCATTCACCAAGTGAACGCTCAAAGCGTGAAACCATTTTTACCCCAGTCAATGGATCCGTGTGCCCTCGACTTTCATCCAGAGCTTTTATTCTTAACACGGACATTACTATTTTATGTGATTTCATTTCATTACTCAGTTACTGAAGTTTAATAAACGTATGACATTTAAAAATGTAATTATCTTTGATTTGTCAAATCCAAAAGATTTTAAATTTTGTTCTTTGTTACCGTGATGTGAATAGATTCATTCTCACCACAGTTAACCAATAAGCACAAGCCTTCTTAAAAGTGTTTGAAACTGAACGCCACAACGCTACAGCATGAAATCAGTTCATGTGAACATGAATCCCACATGAATCCCACATGAATCCCGTATCTCCAACCTGAATTACATGTGATAAACTTAAAACACCCCCCCTTACAATGGCATCATCTTGAAGTTCTATATAAACAGTGCTATCTCGCTGATACCCACAGACAGGCATTACCAGACACACCAATACAGTTAATGTCACAATCACAAACAGAACCCAGCTGGGCAGCCGTGGAGCAGGATAGAACCACAGAAACTAGACCAAAGTGTAAATAATTCACGTCTATAATTCCACCAAACTTTCTAACCTCCTCCTGTCTCCGTTATTGTTAATACACTGCCAGACAGGTGTCACACGCTCAGCTTAAAGACTGATTATTGATACAAATAATCAGATTGAGGTAGGGTATTATCCGAGCTGTAGTCCGGAAGATATTACAAATGTGGTTAAATTGACTACATAATACATTAAAAGAATAGCAAAGCGTAAAATTTCACAACAATAGATCGAACATGAACATGTTTGTTCTGTGGGCATTATATATTCTATTAAGCTAGACTTCATGTCATGTAAGTACATTGTGAAATTTCAATCTTCCTGCAAACCCAGATGAGATTATTCCATCAACATATAAGTGTTTGCAATATGAGTCTACATATTGAATTATTAAAGATTTATGGATGGGTTTTAGAAAAATGTACTTTTCTTTAATATTTCAATGTATGAAAAAATGAAAACACGAAAGAAGGCCGTAAATCAGTGATGGGAACTGATGGCTGATCAGGTTTCACGTTAGTAGAGTGATACGTAAAACAACCATATACTCTCATCAATAACACCACATGGACGCCATCAGGACTTTGTAAATGTACCCTTTCCAGATTTTAACATTTAAAAGGTCTCATTGTTTTTTAAGTACTAATCAATCAAGTGCCTCGTTGCTCATAAAGAATGTAAACCTACAACTATATCAAACTTTGAAACAATTTCAAAGTCAGTGATCATTATTTGGATTATAGGTAAAAATAACAAATTGACATATCAATAACACATCCTAGCTCAATTCCGTATGGTGGCCACAAATTTGAAAATAACGAGTTGTGATATTCAATAAGCTTACTCACAATTCAGACGTTCCTCTGACAAAGCACTAGTATTAATCCAGTAGTGAGAAAGGTACACCTTGTAACATGTAGAGCCTGGTCGCCTCACTGCAGCAATAGGCACCGACAGAGCTACAGCGGCAATGACACTATGGTAACTTGTAAAGTCCTGTTAGTTAATCAGCCAGCTCAGATCTGCTGCTGCAGATAACTAGACTCTAATCTGCCAGCCAGATGAAAGTTTAGTCCTCGGCTGGGGAATAGTAAAGGGATGGCGATGCTTCTCCTGCTGGGGGTCTGACTACTCTCCACCAATCGCACGCTCCGATACCTGGCCAGGAGATCACGGCAGGGGTAGAGGGTGTTAGTGGTTTGTGGAGCTGAATGAGAGATGGTGGACTACCGGAATTGTGGAGATAGTTATATGTGTAGGTGGACGTGGACAATTTTAATTTTCTATTGTGATTCAGGATTGGTCAATGAAGCCGATTTTAGCAATTCAGCCTTGAATGGAGAACTCATTTAGTCTTGTACATATAAAACTGATAGTTCACTATATGTCCTGGATGTATTTATGTCAAAGTTAAGGCAAAAATTGATATTTTATCACACAAGCAGAATACTGTATGACCTTATACAAAATTCAACATTTCCAAACTTCAGAATTCTGTTATTTTGTTGAATTTTGATGGAAGGTTAATTGGAACTTATATTTTCAATCTTATCAACTCCTATTTAATGTATTTAAAAAATGTACAGTAAAGCTTAAAGGGCCTTTACGCAAAAAGTAAAAAATACCATTTACCTTCAAATCCACTTGCAATTCATTTCATTAAATAGACTTTGAGATTTATCATAGGTTAAGACCAGCAACTTTTGAAATCTTTAAAAAATGAGGTAATTACTTTCAATCAGAGTAAACATAGTCCATGCTTCACTCCATGGAACCAACACAGGCTTATGCTGCAGTAATTTGTCTAACAGCATGGGGCTGCAAGAGACGCTTATTACACGGGCATCAACTGTGGCAGTGAGCGCAGCTGACGGATGGTGAGAAGAGCGCTGGGATCGGCTACGTTATGCAATGCCGCACTGTCGGAGCTTTCAATGGACGGCTATCTGATGGATCAATGCAAGACCCGGGATAATCTCTGTCTCTTTTCATGCATCATCACTCAAAAGCTGTTCAAGTTGAAAACAATATTTCGGACTGATAATGAACACGGTTGCAAGGTGATATGCTCCCTTGGGTCCAACCAAAGGCTCCTGTGAATCCATTTTAATTCTGTTAATTGGTGAGGATATTGTGATCAGGGGCTAGAGACAGAGCTGGCTTGATAGTGGTAGACAGACTACAGCAGTGCTTCCAGGGACGCGGTTACAGGAAGGCTCCCGGACGAGGGTCCCCCTGGTGTAGTTACACAGACAGACATGGGCGTGTTGTGACTACAGCCGAGCTAAAACGTCCACTCAAGCTCGACTGGGTGGAGAGCGCAGCATGATTTAAAATCTAAATTAATTAAAAAGTTTTTTTAACTTGGTTGGTTGTCAGACAAGTGTACGTTTAGGTTGTAATTTGATGGGTCAGCATTTGGCAGCTTTCCTTTAAAAAATTTGTCTGAATCATGGCTATATTTGGTATGTAAGAAATCCAGTCATCTATACTGTTGTGTGACAAATTTGAAGAAAATTTCAGAGAATGAAATGTGGTGTGGTGTGGTGTGGCGTGGCGTGGCGTGGCGTGGCATGGCGTGGTGTGGAATGGTGTGGTGTGGCATGTGGCGTGGCGTGGCGTGGCATGGTGTGGAATGGTGTGGTGTGGCATGTGGTGTGGCGTGGCGTGGCGTGGCGTGGCGTGGAATGGTGTGGTGTGGCATGTGGTGTGGTGTGGCGTGGCGTGGCGTGGCGTGGCATGGTGTGGAATGGTGTGGTGTGGCATGTGGTGTGGTGTGGCGTGGCGTGGCGTGGCGTGGCGTGTGAGCACAAACACTGGCTCAGTTTCGGTGGTCAGCTGACACAGCTGATATCTGACACATGTGTCATCTGTCATGCATTGAAAAACATACACTGCACTAGATGGTGACAGGTGACACACCTGGGCCAGCACACCACTGCACTGTCGTACTTAGCAAACTGTAGTGCCTCAGAAGACTGGGCCACCTGTGCTCGGATTGCTTGGGATGTGAATGATGTAATTGTCCAGGTTGCTACCATACTGACTACTAGACAGCATTACCAACCAGATCTGCCTTGACAATTAGTGACTTTAAGATTTGAAACAAAAATGTAAATACATATATGCAGGATAATTTTGATGATTAGTAGTACCCCTGGTGTATAGCTAAGTCAGAAGCCAAAAGAGATGTATGCTTCATGGGATACCGTCTAGGATGGGTGTCCTATTTCTTCCAGTCTAGGATGGGTGTCCTATTTCCTCCGGTCTAGGATTGGTGTCCTATTTCCTCCAGTCTAGGATGGGTGTCCTATTTCCTACAGTCTAGGATGCCCTATTTCCTCCAGTCTAGGATGCCCTATTTCCTCCAGTCTAGGATGGGTGCCCTATTTCCTCCAGTCTAGGATGGGTGCCCTATTTCCTCCAGTCTAGGATGGGTGCCCTATTTCCTCCAGTCTAGGATGGGTGCCCTATTTCCTCCAGTCTAGGATGGGTGCCCTATTTCCTCCAGTCTAGGATGCCCTATTTCCTCCAGTCTAGGATGGGTGCCCTATTTCCTCCAGTCTAGGATGGGTGCCCTATTTCCTCCAGTCTAGGATGGGTGCCCTATTTCCTCCAGTCTAGGATGGGTGTCCTATTTCCTCCAGTCTAGGATGGGTGTCCTATTTCCTCCAGTCTAGGATCCCCTTTTTCCTCCAGTCTAGGATGGGTGTCCTATTTCCTCCAGTCTAGGATGGGTGTCTTATTTCCTCCAGTCTAGGATCCCCTTTTTCCTCCAGTCTAGGATGCCCTATTTCCTCCAGTCTAGGATGGGTGCCCTATTTCCTCCAGTCTAGGATGGGTGCCCTATTTCCTCCAGTCTAGGATGGGTGTCCTATTTCCTCCAGTCTAGGATGGGTGTCCTATTTCCTCCAGTCTAGGATGGGTGTCCTATTTCCTCCAGTCTAGGATCCCCTTTTTCCTCCAGTCTAGGATGCCCTATTTCCTCCAGTCTAGGATGGGTGTCCTATTTCCTCCAGTCTAGGATGCCCTATTTCCTCCAGTCTAGGATGCCCTATTTCTTCCAGTCTAGGATGCCCTATTTCCTCCAGTCTAGGATGGATGCCCTATTTCCTCCAGTCTAGGATGGGTGCCCTATTTCCTCCAGTCTAGGATGGGTGTCCTATTTCCTCCAGTCAAGGATGCCCTATTTCCTCCAGTCTAGGATGCCCTATTTCTTCCAGTCTAGGATGCCCTATTTCCTCCAGTCTAGGATGCCTTATTTCCTCCAGTCTAGGATGCCCTATTTCCTCCAGTCTAGGATGGGTGTCCTATTTCCTCCAGTCTAGGATGCCCTATTTCTTCCAGTCTAGGATGGGTGCCCTATTTCCTCCAGTCTAGGATGCCCTATTTCCTCCAGTCTAGGATGGGTGCCCTTTTTCCTCCAATCTAGGATGGGTGCCCTATTTCCTCCAGTCTAGGATGCCCTATTTCCTCCAGTCTAGGATGGGTGCCCTATTTCCTCCAGTCTAGGATGGGTGCCCTATTTCCTCCAGTCTAGGATGGGTGTCCTATTTCTCCAGTCTAGGATGGGTGCCCTATTTCCTCCAGTCTAGGATGCCCTATTTCCTCCAGTCTAGGATGGGTGTCCTATTTCCTCCAGTCTAGGATGGGTGTCCTATTTCCTCCAGTCTAGGATGGGTGTCCTATTTCCTCCGGTCTAGGATGGGTGTCCTATTTCCTCCAGTCTGGTGAACTCATGCTCACGTTCACCACGTCACATGTTTATAACAGGGTTATTAATAAAACAAATTCTGCCTGATATTTGGCAAATTTTTATGGCTATTCAACCATGCATATAAGTTTGTCGCTTTAGGTTGGTTTAACTTGTATTGTCCAACAATTTAACCTATTGTCTAGAAGTTTAACCTATTGTGCGGCAGTTTAACCATTGTCTAACAATCAATGACTTACTGGGTTGATAGTAAGCAACGTATCCATATTGTTATATTTCCTTGTCAGTCAACCAATCAATGACTGACTAGGTTGATAGTATGAAACGTATCCATGTGGTTATATTTCCTTGTCAGTCAAACAATCAATGACTGACTAGGTTGATAGTATGAAACGTATCCATGTGGTTATATTTCCTTGTCAGTCAAACAATCAATGACTGACTAGGTTGATAGTATGAAACGTATCCATGTGGTTATATTTCCTTGTCAGTCAACCAATCAATGACTGACTAGGTTGATAGTATGAAACGTATCCATGTGGTTATATTTCCTTGTCAGTCAAACAATCAATGACTGACTAGGTTGATAGTATGAAACGTATCCATGTGGTTATATTTCCTTGTCAGTCAAACAATCAATGACTGACTAGGTTGATAGTATGAAACGTATCCATGTGGTTATATTTCCTTGTCAGTCAAACAATCAATGACTGACTAGGTTGATAGTATGAAACGTATCCATGTGGTTATATTTCCTTGTCAGTCAAACAATCAATGACTGACTAGGTTGATAGTATGAAATGTATCCATGTGGTTATATTTCCTTGTCAGTCAAACAATCAATGACTGACTAGGTTGATAGTATGAAACGTATCCATGTGGTTATATTTCCTTGTCAGTCATTCAATCAATGACTGACTAGGTTGATAGTATGCAACGTTTCCATGTGGTTATATTTCCTTGTCAGTCAAACAATCAATGACTGAGTGAAGTTGGCAACATGAGCTTGTATCACTGAAGACATCTTCCCAAGGCAAGAATGTTAACTGACTATAAAAGTCAAGTTTCCACCCTTGCCGAACTAGGCTGGTATTATGGAGTTACATTTTGGATGGACTAACGAGTCTATGCATGGTCCAATCAAAATCGTGCACCGAAATCGAAATCTGGTTCATAAACTGTCGTTCAGATTTCAGTCGATTGCAGGATTTGCAAAGCATGTGCACTGCCAACTCGATGTCAGCAGATATTTTCCAAATCTTTTCATGTTTTTAATCAAGGTGCTCACGTGATTTGATGCATTTCGCGATGTAAGACCCGTTTTATCACAAAATAGATCTTGATTATCGATCAGATCGCCCTGAGTGGGCGCCACCATTTTGTGTGAAGCAAACGCAAGTGATACAAGAGGTGGAGTCTCATTGGTCAATAAGAGAG